TTCTATATGAATAAATAAATAAATCTTTAAAAAATAATAAAAAAAGAAAATTACAATAAGCTTTAAAAATATTTCTTAAATTTATTACCGAAGAGAGATGATTAACATTACCTTTTTTTTTTTGATAGAAGGAAAAAGTTTGTAAGATAAATTTTAGAGTAATGAAAATCTCATGGCTAAAAATTACAAGGAAAAATTATTCAAGTTCAAACTTGTTTTTGAACAGCTACTATGTATATAAGAGACTCTTTTTATTTTTAGAATATAGAGATGGAAAATAACTTGAGCCAATCCCAAATAATTTAATCACTTTGTAGGGTAAACTTTTTAAAAACTGTAACATGATAATATATTCAATAATACATATATATATATATAAAATACAACACAACTTGTATAATTCTGGAGGTGAACAACAGTATTAGTACTCTAATGACCTAATTTTGACAATACTTATAGAATAAATGTTTGCCTTTATTGTAATTCTATGAAACTAGCTCTGGCTGCATGTTGTATTAGAAGTTCAGAAGAAAGAAAGAAGTAAATTCAACTTTTCATACTGGAGGGTAGATTTTGGGGGGGGGAATGGGCTTTAAAACTTCTTTTTCTATCTCTGCCACTCTTATGTCACAGAGAATGGTATTTGGAGTCTTCCAGTTGTTAAAAAAAAAAAAGAAAAAAAGTCAACACCATGAGGCAGTTTCTCAAACTTGCCGTACTCAAATCCTCCAGAGCAGTCTGCACTTCCGCTCTCGTCCTTCCTGCTGGCAGTAGATTGTGCCCCTCCCCCTCTACAAATGCTGGCCCCTCATCTGTGGTCAGATCCTGTCCTCTTCTGCCCCTTCAGGGTCCCTTTGTCTCCTGAATTTTCAGCATCTTTACTCTCAGCTCTACCCTTCTCATTAAATTGGAGCATGTTCAGTTTTTTCCAACTTTAAAAGGAAAACAAAACCTCCACTAACCCAGTTATTAATTCCCACCTTTCTTCCTTCTTTCACAAACAGAAGAATCACCTGTGCTCACTCTCTGCTTTTCCTCACCTCCCAGTCACATCCCAACCACTCCAACAAAGGAACACTCCCCAAAGGCATTGGTGACCTCCATGCAGCTAAATCCAGTAAAACTTTTTCTTCTCCATCTTACCTGATCTCTCAGAACATTTGGTAATGTTGTATTAGCAGTCCTGCCTACTGTGACCTTTGTTCCCTCTGGCTTCCATGGCACTTTCCTCACACTCTGGCTTCTCAAGCTCCTCTAAAAAGATAATCTTTTCTCACCTGATCTTTTTTTTTTTTAAAGATTTATTTATTTATTTATTCATACAGAACTGGAGTACAGGGCAGAGATGCAGAGATGCAGAGGGTGACAGGATTCACCAGAGACAGAGAGGGGAGCAGAACAGGCAGATCGACGAAATACACTGCTGAGGGGAGCAGCGGGCGGGTCAGGAGAGGTCTGCTGCGCCATGTGGTCACCTCCGGGGCAGGCAGGGATCGAACTCATGCAGAAGTGGCTTAAGCTTCTTAGTGCAGTGCTTTAACCCACTACACCGCCAGGGAGGGCCCATCTCACCTGATCTTTTAATACCCAAGCCTGGGGTGGGATGTGTCCAGGAGAATAGAGATGACATCAGAGATAGGAGCGAGGACCAGATTCACAAGGGCATATTGGAAAATAAAATACTATTTTCAGTGCTGAAAAGTACATTCTTTGTTTGTGTAATTTCCATAAATCACTCAAGGTAAACTTTTATGTGCATTAACTTTTATTTATTACTATTAAGGAGCAACAAGCATTGAGAAGTATGATCTCCGTACAAATATGTGGACACCTGTAGCAAATATGAATGGAAGGAGGCTACAGTTTGGGGTTGCAGTGTTAGATGACAAACTGTATGTGGTCGGAGGAAGAGATGGACTGAAGACTTTGAACACTGTGGAATGCTACAACCCCAAAACAAAAACTTGGAGTGTGATGCCTCCTATGTCTACCCATAGACATGGCCTTGGTGAGTGCAACTCGTCAGATTTGCTCACAATGTTCTACATTTAGTTTCCAAGTATTTTTGCACTCTCCATCAGACAGAAAATAGTATGGCAGCAACAGTCAGTCACAAAGCATTACTTCACATGCTCCCTGCCGCCTGAGAAGTAGAGGCTGAGGAAGCAAGTGTGTACATAAACAGGGCAGCAACAAGCACGTGGGAGAATATGGATACTTAAGAATTTTAGTGTAGCTTGATGAACTGACCAGCCAGCTTTTAAAATATGTGTTCTGTGTTGACAATTAATGTTAGCTAACCTATGTGAAATGCTTATTTAAAAGCCTGCAGTGCTGCATTTTTCATCAGTAGCCCTTGGTTTTTATTCAGAAATGAATAAGAAACCAGAAAAATTTTGCGGTGGCACAGAAAATAGGATGATGGCAACTTCTCATTTTTTCATTCACTGGGCAGACATGATGTATATGATGCGCCATGCTATTGGCCTATTACAAATACTGCAATGATTTTAAATCTTTTCCAAACTGACAGATTGTCAACAAAGTGCAAATTCTTTCTATTCCTAAATTCATACCTGTTTGACTCTGCAGCTTCTCCTCTGTCATTAGTAAAAACGTGATCTGTAAGACTTAGCAGCAGGTCTGAAATCCTTATTTTTCCCATTTCCTTGTAGGCGTGGCTGTGTTGGAAGGCCCCATGTATGCTGTGGGGGGGCATGACGGCTGGAGCTATCTGAACACTGTGGAAAGATGGGACCCGCAGGCTCGCCAGTGGAATTTTGTTGCCACTATGTCCACTCCTAGGAGCACAGTTGGCGTGGCAGTACTAAGTGGAAAGTAAGGAGATATTTAAAGTTCCATTTAAAACACAATAATCTAGATGTATTAAGCTATAGCCTGTCCAGTAGAAAGCCATACATAAATACATCATAAAAGAGAAATACACTGAGTGGTATCACCAGACTTTCCCTGTCCTAACTTTCTATAATAGCTTTCACGCTAACATGCAAGTGTTATAAATCTCTGGTTATCATTTCAAGTGAAGAAATTTTATATAAATATTGAATACAGTAAAACTCTGATAGCTTATATAACCATAAAAGTGTATGGTCTTTTAAGTGTCATGTAGCCTCTCTGAATATTTGCTAAATAATTCCAATCATCTGATTCTCTTGACTTTACTTTTCTTGGGAAATTACTGAAAACTAAATTGGATTTAGAAAGAGATGCTCTCTTGCCTATTGTCTGCTTTAGGTACAGTAAAAGGACTGTGATAGTGGTGCAGGGGTTAAAGTCTTGGTGCTAGCAAGCTGTGCCAGTCACTGCAGCATAGGTTTGATCCCCGGCCAGCGAGGTGACCCATGTGCCGGATGCAGCAGCCCTCTCCTGTGTCGCCCACTGCTGGCCCTCAGCAGTGTATTTAAGTCGTTCTACCTGGGCTACGCCCCACTCTGTCTCTGCGGAATCCTCTCATGCACACCCTTTCACCTCTGCCCTACACCCAGTTCCTACATGCAGAATAAGTAAGTCCTTTTTAAAAAAGAAGATTTGGATAGAGGCATTGCCAATAGCTTTTGGTAATTCAAAAATTAAATATCTTTTTCAGATCGCTTATAAAATGGAGCCCTGTATGATTAGTGAATAAAACTGTTTGTTGTATACATTTACTCATTTAAAAATCTTTATCATTTCTAGAAAGATAAAGGAATTGTATTGTCATTATTAAAAGTAAGAAAATATAAGTAAAATGTATGTATGTTGTAAACTAAGGACCTATTAGTTATGACCTACGTTGTGTTATTTTTAGCATTGTTACAAGTAATAGAGAAATAGAGACCCATGTTTAAATGTCTGATCTCTGTACCCACCATTTATTTTCACTAATTCATTTATTGTTGGTAAGAGTCAGCCACCAAAGAATATAGTAAATGAGAGAAAAAGAAAACTAATATCTTCTTGATTTTCCATCTTTGGCATAAACATTTGGGGTTAGTCCATTGCACTATTTTTGTTCAATGGCATATTCCTTAGCCCTATTTCTGTCTAAAAATATTAATTTCTAAAGAAGAACCAAAAGAATAACCTTGCCATCACTCAAATCTGATTTCCAGACCTATAATAGCCTGGGCTTCAGGCAGAAAAATATCTTTGTTCCTCACCTTTTCTTGCTCTTTAATGAGAAATCAATGTCAGTCTAATGTAAATAAAAATGCAATTGAGTATAATTCTGATACAACCCTAAGAATCATACCAGAAGCTAAGGATTTTTTTAATCTACCAAATATTAAATATCAAAGACATTTGATTTTCAAAGTGTAGTATACTGACATTGTGATTACAGATAGTCTATTGAATACCTCTCGTGCTGGTCCTTTTGTTTCTGACTCTGCTCTCCCACTTATCTTTCTTCTTGGAGACCTTCCTAATGTTTGAACTAAAATACTAATTGAACAATGTCACTTTCTCATTTAAAAACTTTCAATAGCTAATTTGACCAGGCCTCTTTTAGATCTTGCCTCTGTCCACCCTTCTAGACTCCTCTGTTCCCTACCCATGCATTTGACACTCCAACTGACTGATGGATGAAAAATGCACACCTTGCATCTCACCCTTGTTACCTCTTGATTCCCATTTTATCTGCCTTGAGATACTACTTCCCAAATATCCACTTGGCAAAGTCAGCGTCCTTGAAATTTGCTCAAATTATCTCTGGAAAACTTACCCCAGTTCCCATTCTCAGTTGCTCAGTCCCCCTACACTCAGTGTCCATTCCATCCTTTGCATTTTTACAGTGCTTAATTTGTGTATAATTATATTGTAGCATGTACTCTCCCATTATTAAAGTTATTTATACAGATCATGGTCTTTGTAACCTGGTTCCACTTTTTTGTTCCTTATACCTGACAAAGTACTTTGCACGTAATCTGAAGCATGTAAGTTAATTGAAGAATACCTTGGTACACATAGATGATGTGATAGTTTAATTACCCTAAAAAAGGATGTGTCAAACCAGCATTTTTCTAAACCTGCTTTAAAACAAGGTAGAGATGATTTAAAATATGTTTTTGGTTTCCACTTCTAGGTACATAGCCAATTCTGAAAAAATGTTCTGATGATGTTGTAAATTTTTTTTAAGGATGTAGTGAATTAAAAAAAATCATTTTGCATCTGCAGCATCCTTTTTTTAAAAGTTGTATTTATTTATGCATACAAGAAATAGATATAGGCCAGAGGCATGGGGAATGAGAGGATTTACCAGAGACAGAGTATTAGGGAGCAGAACAAGTGGATCTACTGAAATATACTGCTGAGGGGAAGCAGTGGGTGGGACCGCAAAGATCTGCTGAGCCATGTGGGTCAGCTCCCTGGTAGGGGAGCATGCTTAGGCCACAGAGGTCAGTGATAGTTTAATAATTCTGTGTCTTAATCCCTGCACCACCAGGGAGGCCCCTGCATCTTTTTTCTACCAATACTTTGTACTTTAGAACATACTTTTCTGTGCCTCAGTTTCTTTATGTGAATCTCAAACAGTATCTACCAACCACCTGCATTCTTCATCATAATTTTAAGTCAGTAAGACCTGAGTCTTATTCTTAAATACTGTCACAATTTGACATAATATTTCTCTTTTATTGAAATACTATCATTAGGAAGAAAAATGAGTTCTGAATCTTGTATGACATTTCATTAAGCCAATTCATATTTCTGAAAATTAAAACTATTTCTTAAAACTTGGACTTCAAATGCTCTATTTTGGGGACACCTGTTAAGTCCTCCACAGAATCCTAGTCGTAGAATGCAGTTTGAAAATCACTAGATGCGATCATTCTTCAGAGAGTTACTAATACAGTTTAATCCTTAATATTTGTTCAGTAGAAACGTGTTTTTAGGGACTTACAGTCTCCTAAAAAAATGCTACTTTCTGAAAGGATACAAATAGAGGCAAAGTTGTCTTTTCCCCATAGCAATTTTTACCATGTGCAACCATTCTTCAAATCATAGCACTTTAAATCTGATTATCAGTAATCCCCTTAGAGATGACAAACCCCAGGTAGGTGTAGCATAAAGAACTTGCTAAACTAGTAAGTGATGGTACCAGGATTCGCACCAAGCATCTGACCCTGAGTGATGGTTCTACTCACTGTACAGCACTTTTCACAGTGACCCCCCCCCCCCGAGAAGGATGCTGGTACCCTGAAGCCTGTCGGTGTGTGTATGTGTGCGTGGGTGTGCATTTTAATTATTGATACTCAAAATTTTTATGTCTTCTAATACTGTGATTCATATCTAGATAATTACTCTACCAATTATTAAAGATGAGGGCAATTTAATATTAAGAACAGTAACCATAAAAAGTAGTTTTTAACAGATAAAAACTTTAATAAAGTTTCAAATAAATTTCAATTCTCATACAATTAGTATAGTTTAAGTGCTTAAAATATTTACATGTTCTAAAATGTAAAATATTTTTAAGTTTAGAGTCAAATTGAATAGAGTACATTGATTGATAATGAATTGAAATTATCTAGGCAGCAGGTCATTAGCATTTATTTTGCATAATTTACAGTATCTTATTGCAATAATTTATTGAAACAATAAATACACTGTTGTTTCAAGTTATCCTCATATTCTCCTATTTTATTTTTACAAGTACATTCCAGGTGGCTTTTACATCTGCTCACTAGTATTACTTTGTAACCTGCGTGACCCCTACATGTCTCTTAACCTCCATGAGGTCCACTTTCTTCCTCTGTGAAACAGGATACAATTAAATTAATAGAGTGATGTCTGCTACATACATATATATGATAATACATTGTAATTTTAGCATATCATCTTTCTTACTGGCACATAAATTGACACTGTGTCTTATAATTGATGGTAATACCATAAAATTTAATTATATAACATATAATTTAATAACATAATTAAATAAGTTAATTATGTTAAACTAATATAAGTAACATACCTACCCTATGGTTGGAGCACAGTAACTGTTATAACAGTTTCTTTCCTTTTGTAACCACGTGCTATCTTAGCTACTTACAAACTATGTCAATTCTAAGACGAAGTTTAACTTCTCTGAAATTGCAATACATCTTATAATCAGTGGTGACATGTTAAACAGATGGAGGCTGTAAGAGTTGTCATTGTGTTCATGTGATTTATGTATTCATTTTTTATGCATATGTAGAGCGCTGTCTGTTACATACATATCATCTTTCTTAATGGCACATACACTGACACTGTGTCTTATGGTAATACCATAAGAATAATTTCTTTCTCTTAAGCATAACAGTAGCACTATTTCTTATTTGTCATTGTTTGTTCTTGTGTTTATTCTTTTTACAGACTTTATGCAGTCGGTGGTCGTGATGGAAGTTCTTGTCTCAAATCAGTTGAATGTTTTGATCCTCACACTAATAAATGGACCCTGTGTGCACAAATGTCAAAAAGGAGAGGTGGCGTGGGAGTGACCACCTGGAATGGATTGCTGTATGCTATTGGGGGGCATGACGCTCCCGCATCCAACCTGACTTCCAGACTCTCAGACTGTGTGGAGAGGTAATTTCCTGTGAAGGAAAGCTACATATACTACACTTAGTTATTTATTTATGTGTCTGTCTGTGTGTGTGTGTTTAAGAGACACTTGCAGAGAAATTAGTATCTTTTTATTAAGGATTCACCACATGGAAGGTGGTTATTTAGGAGCTTTGGAATCCGTGGTTTGTCTGTTCTGGTCAGCTCTTGGTTTGTCAGCTAACAGCCTAATTGGAATGTTTCTCTCATCATATCACTGCCTACTTCAACTTTACCTTAGAGATGACTGCATAATGTATTAATTGAATGATAGGACAAACATTTATTGTTGCCTTTTTGTACTAGACATTGTAGAAATGAGAGAAAAGGAGCTTGATGAAAAGAGCCCTTTCAGCAACTGGAGGCTACATAAAAAAGAAAAGGAAAGGGAAGTTTCTAACATATTTTGATATAAAATATAGTAATATGAAAAAATAAAATAAAAAGCTAATAGGGTTTAAAGCCTAAACAAGTCATCCAACCTGGCCTCACAAAACTTGAGTCCAAAGCCAGATGAAGAGCCCGCAGGCTTCAGCAGTAGTTCAGGCTTCCTCTGTTGTGTTCAGTCTGTTGCAAGGGATGGAGAGAGTGACTGGGTTTAAGAGGAAGTGGTGTTGGTAGGAGCATGAACGAGTACTCTAAATGGAAAGGGATACGGCTCGCTCAGAAAACTAGAGGTGATGAAGAGTAGTGTAGCGAGTACAGGGACAGTCTTGAGACCTCACTAAGAACTGAATTTTTAAACAGCAGTGGGAAGCTAGTGAAGGCATGCTTGTGTATTACTTACACTACAAATGCTTGGAAGAAGGATAAAAAGTGAAATGACTGTTTTTCTTTAAGAAAGCAGGAAGATTATATCTGCATTTCACTTGTATTGGGTGAGAAGATGACTCAGATTATAATTGTTATATTCAGGATATGTGAAAAACATGAAATAGTGCCAGCCCTAGTTCTAAACTTTTCTTTCAGATATGATCCCAAAACAGACATGTGGACTGCAGTGGCATCTATGAGCATCAGCAGAGATGCAGTGGGGGTCTGTCTACTTGGTGATAAATTGTATGCTGTTGGAGGGTACGATGGACAGACTTACCTTAATACAGTGGAGGCTTATGACCCCCAGACAAATGAGTGGACACAGGTATGGCATTTCACTTTTCATTTTTACACTCACTGTTCTTTTTAAAGCTAGCCTTTTTAGTAAAACAGGTGCTCACAATTTTGCCCAGTATTGAAAACTGTAACATAATAACATGAGAAAGCCATTTCTTAATTAAATGAGAAAACAAGAGGAAATATTTAATTTTGTAACATGATTAAATTCCAAAATTACCTTTAAAGTATCTGCCACTATTTGCTTGCTGGGAATTGATGAGATGTTCTAGTATAGCGTTGATACGAACACAAGACAGATGTATAATAAAGAGACATAAACAATCAGAAATGAAGATAATGATTAGAATAATTGAACCACTACCCACACGTGATGAGTAAGTTTTAAGTACTCATGCCCCTGATACTTGAGAGCACATCAGATGTCTGGTCATAACCTCATAAAGATGGTAATCCTAAATTACACTGATAAGTAAGAAACTTAATCTGGCAAGCTAGTTAACAGAAAGAATTTCACTGTGTCTATTACTAGGAAGGTCTATGTGTCCATCATCACCCAGAACAAAATCAGGGATTTAGAACCCCATCTCAGTATCTGACATAAAAGGCGTCAAATATTTAGTTGAGCCAATGTTTTCTACAAGAAGTAATGGTTGAGAAAATAAAATGCATGAGAATCCCCACTGCAGAAGTACTTAACTACTTAGACAGGTAAGATCCACATATTTTAAGGGAAGAACCCACACCATAGAGCAGTTGGAATGAAGTGACTCACAGTGTTGGTAGTCAGTGGTTATGAAAACTCAAAAAACAAGAAAGAAAATGAATAAGAGCCCTTCTGTGAGAAAGAAGTAGGATTTAGCTCAGTTTTAATGAATTGATCAATTCAGAAAGGTAGAAGGAAAGGGGCACCCATGTAAGAAAACATAAATGAGACTGAAGCACATGCACGCTTCCTTGAGGGAGTGTGACTGAACTTTATTCATGCTTGAGAAAAGGAAGAGTTCCAAGGGGAAAGAAAGTGTGAGGTCAAGACGAAGAGAGTTAGTGTCTTGGGGGAAAACTGCTAATTATGAGCAGATGTTTTGATTTAGATCACTTAGCAGTTACTCCTAGAATATTCTTTTTTTGAAAAAAAATTATTTCATTTTTATGCATACAGAACTAGGGTACAGGCCAGAGGTATGGGCAGGGAGGTGAGAGGGTTCAGCAGAGACAGAGTGGGGTGCAGAACAGGCAGATTGACTGAAGTACACTGTTGAGGGGAGCAGCAGTTGAGACAGGAGAGGTCTGCTGTGCCATATGGGTCTCCTCCCTGCCCGGGGATTGAACTTGGGCTGTAGTGGCTGCTGTAGCTTCATAGTGCTGCACTTTAACCCGTTGGGCCACCAGGGAGGGCCATGGGTGGAATTTCTTATTTGTTTTTTCTGATAAAGAGTAGCAAGTAGAAAGGGCTTATACTTTTCATCCACACACAGAGAAGGCAGTCAACCAATGTGAAGTAATAGGTTCCTGTGGAATAAGCAGATCTCAGGCATTCACTGTGCTTTGTATACTCAGGCAGCCCATCTGTTACAGGCCACTCCAGATACTATTTAACATTTTGTCCGAATTGATCACAGAGCTAGCCAAGGTATTCAGCATTTCCTAATATCCATATTGTGTATTACTTTGAAGAAAATATTGAATTTCATGTAGTACAGTTACTGAGCTGTTTTTAAAAATCACCTTTTTCGGGTCCTCCCTGGTGGCGTAGCGGGTTAAAGCACAGCACTGAGAAGCTAAAGCCACTTCCGCATGAGTTCGATTCCCGCCTGCCCCAGAGGTGACTACATGGCGCGGCAGACCTCTCCTGACCCGCCCGCTGCTCCCCTCAGCAGTGTACTTCATCGATCTGCTTGTTCTGCTCCCCACTCTGTCTCTGGTGAAGCCTTTCACTGCCCCTGAGCCTCTGGCCTGTACCCCAGTTCTGTATGTACAAATAAATAAATCTTTTAAAAAAAAATCACCTTTTTCATATCCCAACTAAATATTATGGTGTGTACCAGAAACCAGTATAATGTTATATGTCAATTATATCTTAAAAAAAATTAAAAAGGTAATTTAAAAAAATTACCTTTAAAAGGGAATAAATACTATATAATCATGTGATATACCTAAAACAGTGTACCCTATGGAATGTTAAGTTCTTGGGGAAAAGACCAGGCTGGAAACAGGGCTGAGGCAGCAGGGGTGCTGGGTGGCTGCTCCTTGTCAGCGGCCAGACAATTTCGTGTTACACAGTGGCATGGGATTACCAACTACCACACTAAACCCAAACATATGTCCTTTTGTTTCTTTTTTAGGTTGCTCCACTGTGCCTAGGAAGAGCTGGGGCTTGTGTCGTGACTGTAAAATTATAAATTAGTGCTTTGTTTCCTGAATAAAGAAATCTTCTTCCTTTATGAATTTGCTATAATTATTCTACTATCAGTGGATACATTTTTAGTAAATTTGCAATGTCACATTCCTGGGCACAAAGTGCCTGATCTCAAAGAGAAGATATTAGACACAAGTGGATGACCCAGGTCAGTACTTCCACTTCATAGTAAACTCAGAACTACAGCTGGGGGGGTTGTGAACATACATTCCTGATGTAAAAAATAAGGAAAATGTACTTCTCTTTAATACGACCCAGAGTTAACTGGGAATTTCATTTATTAATAATCAAGCATATTTTAATTAAAATATCCACATTTCTTTTATTATAGTGCAAATATACTAGGTAAAGCTTTTTAATGTTTTAAAATTTCACCATACATAAATTGCAGTAATCTGTATTCATTTATTTAATGACAACACTATTTTAATGACAAACTAAAAAACTATGCTGTATTATATATACTTTGGTTATATATTTAATATCTAAAATTGGCTCAGCCCAATGAATACAGAAAATAATTAAATAGTTAAAACAACAACCAAATGAAAGTTTGATATGATCTCTGGGGTCTACTTAAATATGCATTCTATCTAGATTCACCAAGAACTACATGTTATAATATTCTTAAATGGGAACTGAAACATGGTATTTGCATTAACTTTAGGATATGCAAATTTGTGTAGAAAAAAAATGAATGTTATATACCCTATAATGTTCTTTCACCTAGTATTTATGTGAATTTGTTTTCTTTTATATTATGAAAGATGCTTTGATATGTCAAAACTGTTTGGATATTCTTATGTCCTCAAACCTGTATCTGCCTCGCCTGCCTTGTTTTTATGTTTTGCCACAGTTAGTAACCCTTTATGCTTCTTTGTTATCAAACAGTTTGGGGGGAATGGGTTTAATGAATGTTTGCAAAATAAGTTTAAAGTGTTTACTACCCAAAGTTTTGTATATTTGTAAACTCAGTTACATATGTGAATGTCAATACTCTCAGTGAATTGTTTATTGTTTGCAAAAATTCACTGAGCAGTAACATTTTGTGATAAATCCTGTAAGATATAAGTCAGCAACTTATATCTTAATATAAAGACGACATAAACAAAATCCTCATCTTTTAAAGTTCGATATTGTGGTTAATAGATTTTTGTATTTTATAGTAAGGTTGCCTTTACTTTAGTTGCTTTCTTTAAAAATTACTCTTCTTTTTTTTAATGAGCTGATGTGAAATGCTTATGAAATGTTTCTACCTGGGAACCCAAGAAACTGAGAACTTCTATTCCCAAAACAAATCCTGTGATCATTTTACTGGTGTGACTGCTAAGAAGGCAATGGTAATAGTGAAAAATGCATAGTACACATGTTCTTTATGTTTTGAATGTGAATTCAGTTATTTTCCAGACAAGAAGGGATCGCCGTAGAAAATATTTATGGGTTTCTAAGTAAAAAGAGAAGAAGAGAAAGTATAAGAAATAAAACAGTCCTCCTAAGACTGAAGACTCATAAAAAAGAAGAAATATGGGTCTTCCTTATACCCACTATGCAGCCTGTCTGTTAGCCTGTCCACTGAGATACTTAGCTGCTATTTATGTTAACTCCAATTAATGGCTACCTTACGAAGAGTAATCTTTGCTAATGATTATTGAATGCCTGTTATGAACTAGGAACCGAGTTCTTTGCATGCATGCACTTAGTTCTCACAACAGCCTTCTGAGATATCTTTTATCCCATAAAGGGTAGTGTCATTCCCATTTTACAGATGAAGAAATGAGGCACAAAGAGGTTAGCTCCAAGATTACACATAGTAAGTGACAGAGATTACAGTGTGTGCAGTTTGCTTAGGAATCCCACACCTTATCATTCCTGCTGCTAGGCAGAAACCAAAAGTTACATTTTATGTGAGGAGTCATTTATTTTTATGAAAAGGGAAATGAAGATTTAGGTTTTTTAGAAGTAAAATTTGTAACAGTCACACCCCTATCAGAAATATTTGTTTCTTTAATACTGGTGGGAGACGTAGGGTCAAAGGATAAATAGATTTTGTTTTAAACTCTAACGGAATTTTTTAGGAAAGGAAATGCAAGAAAACATGACATACTTTTCAAAAAGTCTTCTAAATATTAAATGAATTACATGCTATTGAACCATGAACAAATTTATTCATCAAAAGTAAGATGTATTTTCAGTGAATTGGGTAACCTAGACGAAATGCACAAAACTTCAAAATACAAAAAACCAAAACTGATTCAAAATAAATTAAAAACCTGAGCATAACTATAGCCAGAAAGTTACTAGATTAATAATAAAAAGTGCCAAGAAAGAAAGTTCAGAACTAGATGGTGTCACTAGTTAATTATATCACCAAACATTTAAAGAAAAGCATCAATTCTTACTAAATTCTTCAAAAAAAAAAAAACCTAGGAGTGAACACTTTTCTAATTTACTAATTCTATAAAGCCACCATTACCTTGATAATAAAACCCCAAAGATACAATATATACCATACACTAAGATTTATTGCTTGACTACAGGGGAGGTTCAACAAATGACTATCAGTAAAATAACAAGGAAGAAAACATCATCATTTCAACTAATAAAAAAAAAAAAAAACTTGACAGAATTAAACACCCTTTCCTACACTTAGCAGATGAGGGAACAAGAGAAATTTCCTCAATCTATTAAAAGGCTTTTATGAAAACCCCAACTAAATAGTGAGAGATTAGTTTTTCCCCTAAGATCAGGAAAATGCCCATCTCACCACACTGCTAGTCAACATTGTACTAGAAGTTCTAGCCAGAGCAATTTAATAGATGATAGATATATATAGAAAGAGAGAATGAATTTTGATTTAAAAGCATGTAACTAACTTGTTTCTACATAATGAAAATCCTAAAGAATCCACCAAAAATACTTATAGGTAATAAATTCATGATGTTGCAGGTTACACAATCAACACACAGGTCTGATTATTCTCATGTACTGACCAAAAATTTCTGAGAAAGAAACTAATAAAATTTTGTTGAAAGAAATTGAAATGGGCCTAAATAAATGGAAAGCTACCCCATGTTCTTTGGTTGGAAGAATAAATAACATTAAAATGACATTAAAATCCCCTAAATTAGCCCAGGGAGTCAACGCAGTCCTGATCTAAATCCCGATGGTACCTTTTTTGCAGAATGGAGAAAATTGACCAAAAAACGAAAAATAAAATAAACCCTAAACAATCTTTAAAAAGCAAAGTTGGAAATATTTTTTTATCTCAAAGTTTATTACAGAGCTACAATTACAACAATATAGTGTTAGTGTAAGGATAAACATAGATCAATAGCCTAAAATAAAAAATACAGTAGCAAGTTATGATCAATATGCCGTGGTCAACAGATTGTCAACAAGAGTATGAAGGCCACTCAGTGAATAAAGAATAGCCTCTTCAAGAAATAATTCTAGGACAACTGATACAAGAGAATGAAGTCAGACCCTTATATATAGAACTACTAACTCAAAATACATCAAATTCCTAAACAGAGTATCAAAAACTCTAAGTAGAAAACTTTAACATAAATCATGACCTTGGATTTGGGCAGTGTTTTCTTAAATAAGATACCAAAAGCACAAACAAACGATAAATTGAACTTCATCAAAATAAACTTCTGTGCATCACAGGACACTATCAGTAAAGTGAAAAGTCAGCCCACAGAATGGGAGGAAATATTCACAAACCATGTCTGATAAGAGTAGTTACCAGAACATACAAGGAACAGGTCCTACACGCAACACCAAAAGCACAGGTAATTTTAAAATGAACTAAGGACTTGAGCAGACATTAATGAATATTAAGTCCAACAAACACAGGGAAAATGTGAACATTTTTTAATCATTAGGGAGATGTGAATCAAAACCACAAGAAGACGTCATTTCACATCATTATAATGGCAATAATCGCAAAAACAAAATATCAAATGTTGGAAAGGATGTAGAGAAATTTGAACCTTCATTGTGGGTGGCAATGTAAAATGGTGCAGTTTCTGTGATAAGTGGTATGATGACTCCTTAAGAAGTGAAAGGGAATTACCATATGATCCAGCACTTCCACTCCTGGGTACATACCAAGAGAAAAAAAAAAAAACTGCTGCAAACTAGTGTTCCAAACAAAATCTTGTGTGTGCAGTAACAGCTAAAAGGTAGATCCCAAATTTTCATCAGGTGACACTGGAAAAACAAATCATACTATGCACATATAAAGGGATATTTTTAGCCATAAAAAGAAATATACTACTACACATTACAATATCAGTGGACTCTGAAAACATAGTGCTAAGTAAAAGAAGCCTGACATAAAAGGCCACATATTACATGATTCTGTTTATACACAATTTCCCAAATATCCAAAGGGAGAGAAAGGAGATTAAAGGTTGCCAGGGAAGGAATGGAGAATGACTGTTCAGTGTGCAAGTTTCCTTTTGGGTTGATGCAAATCTTCTGGAACTAACTAGTGGTGATGGTTATATTACATGGTGAAGATACTAAATGCCACTTATGGTAAATCTTACGTTATTATTTTACAACAATAAAAAGTTTTATTTAGTGTTTTATCAATTGTTACTTAAATATAACAAAAAGCACTCTATGCATATCACTAGGATCAAAACTCTGTGTTTATATTTTATCCCAAAGAGAATTTTTAAATGTAATTTGCAAGTAAATGAATAAAAAAAAATTGACCGAACTGTTCTTTTGATCTTAATTGTAGTCTAAAAGGAGAGTGAGAAACTGACAAACATAAAGGAAAGCTTGATTAGGAGCTCTTCCCCAGTGCCTGGCAAGCCACAGACAGTCCATAAATGTTAACAATCAAAATACCCTTTCATTACCTGTGTATACTGTTTGGAATTGTTGATAATAACTTTTAATTGGAAACAAATATTCAGTGAAATGATAATTTTACTGCAACTGGATTTATAAATTCCCATGTAACATTTTCATTTAGTTTCATTTTTAATTGGAGTAAAAATCAAATACCATGAAAAATGAAAGCAGTCATCATCTCCATCTCACATACTTTCTGCAGATTGATAAGAATGTGCCAGTGCCCATTTAGAGATTGTCATCTGATCTCCAAGGCCTGAGAAGGATCTTATTTGGTATCTTTTGGGCTTGGACAATTTAGACATCTTGTGAATCTCTTGCACAAACACAGTCCTGATTGATGTGGGTATGAGCGTCATCACTAGTATTGCTGAGCTATTTCTCTCCAGTCCCGGGTGATTATTCCTTTGGGCTAATGAGGTGCCTCTCCAGAGGGAAGCTCAGGAGCAAAGTTCAGTGTGCTAGGTTTTTGTCCTGGCTGAAGTTGGTTCCATTTGATGGCATTTCTTTATGGGTAATAAGCAGTTATATTTAATTGGACTATTTTAAAATATGTTAGTGAGTGAAAATTTCTTGTGCAAGTTTGTGCCTAAAAAGTAAGTAATGTAAGTTGGCTTATTAGTGGCTCAGTGGCCATGCGATTGTGTGATAATGCCGGCTTGCGTGAGGTTTTCAAGCTATCATGACTACACTATCTTCCAAAAGCAGTCATTACTTATGTTTTTATATTGTCACTTTTTAAGATAATAAAAACATTCTACTTGAAATTAAAACGTAGGAATCAAAACTACATTTTTAAATAGCTTTCTTTAAAGTTGTGCATATTTATCAATCTGAAATAAGTGACAGACTGAGCAATTCGATCCATCAATGGAGTTAATCTTGTGGAAGGAAAGGTTTTTGCTTAGTGGTAACTGGAGTGGTGAGGTTAGTGAGAAAATGTCATTCAAAGCTGTGTCAGTGACAAAAATAGCTGCGCTGTGTGATACTTAAGAGAAAGAAAATGCTGGGTAAAATTCTGGCAAAAGTTGACCTACTTATCTGTCTGACTTTGTATCAGAAGCAGCAGCAAAGCTGTAGAGCCCCACTGTGGGGGTGAGGTAATCCAATTGAGAATTCATTTATCTCAGAAACCTCCTGATCAATAAAATAAGGCCTTGAGCAAAACAGCAGGGATACTGAAGCTGAATAGGATGATAATAGAGGGGAAAGAATGTTGGCTCGCTTTTACCCCTGCCACATTTACATTTTCTCTACTGTTGTGCTTTGCAGATGAGGTTCTGCTAATTATTTGTTGACAATGTGAACTAGACTTGGTCTTAAAGGTAAATCACCTCAGAGGTACTGGAATATGGGTTAACAGTATGACAAATTGTGAAACACAGGACATAAGGAATTCATGCGTTTTCCTGGCCCACATGGGGAGCGGGGGTGTGAAATGAGGAGAGGGTAGAATACTTGGGACTGGAATTGCTAACGTAGAATATGTTCAAGAAGTAAGGAGTAGCCCAGACTGCTTGCAGCATCTGATAGCAAGTAGAGAAATGGGGGAAATGTCAGCTACCGTATTGCTTTAACTTAAAGATGACAGATGTCCCTTCTATCTGCACATGACTCCAAAGGAATACGGAGAAACTCCAGGGGGTTGTAATAATTGCTGGAGATGAAGTCTGCCGCCAGGCCCCTCTACACTCCATCTACTTTCTCTGGCTGTCCTCTTGGCCTTATTAAAATAGCCCTAGGGCTCGCTTACAGCTAAGATATGTTAATTAACCAGTCTGTTTTTATCTTCTTCCCACAATTTTGCAAGAGATTTTCAAATGCCCTGGATGTTTTACTCAATATTTGGTGGTGGGGAAATATTGAAGTAACTTCTCTCTTTTACCTGTATCCTTCACAATAAGAAATAATCACTGAAGAGACTGTATTAAATGACTGCTCAGGTCCTGTGTAATTCCAGCATTTAATAATGTATGTTGACTATCACAGAACATCTCTTGACATTCATCCCCTCCAAATATGACATCTTGCCACATCAGTGCCAGCAGGAATGCACATTACTACAGGCGTTACCACAACGTAGTGAAGTATTTTCGAGCACAGTGCCTTATAAAAGTGGCACTCTAGAACTGCCCTGCCCTTTCTGACAAGTAAGGATTATTTGAAGAGCCTTTAAAATAGCTAAGATGGCCCTCCCTGGTGGCGCAGCGGGTTAAAGCACAGCACTGAGAATCTGAAGCCACTTCCGCATGAGTTCGATTCCCGCCTGCAGCCTGCCTGGAGGAGACCACATGGCGAGCCAGACCTCTCCTGACCCGCCCGCTGCTCCTCTCAGCAGTGTACTTCGTAGATCTGCCTGTTCTGCTCCCCACTCTGTCTCTGGTGAAGCTTCTCACCGCCCCTGAGCCTCTGGCCTGTACCCCAGTTCTGTATGCACAAATAAATAAATCTTAAAAAAAAAAAAAATAGCTAAGATATGCAAACAGCCTAAATGCCCCCCAAAAACAGATGACTGCCACAAGAAGATGTGGTATATATACCCAATGGCCTCTACTCAGTGATCAAAAATGATGAATTCATGCAGCAACATGGGTGGAGATGGAAGGGACTTTGCTATGTGATATAGGTCAGAAGGAAAAAGATACATATTGGATGGTTTTCACCTGCGGGTGGAATATAGGGAAAGTCAGGAAAAAAGACGAAACTTCTAAGTAAACCACAGATCAGAGGCATCTGGCAAGGGAAGGGGCGGGGCAGAGAAGAGCACAGGGACTGTGGTGATGGTTCCAGGCCTGCACTCCACAGCCTCTCACCGTGCGAGTCTAGCCGGAAGCCTGGCCATTCTGATCAGTGTAGTTCTGCACTATAGTCTGTTTGCATCCCCCCACCATTCGTATATTGAAAGCTTGTCTCCCAAACGTTACTGGTAATGGGGCCTACAGAAGTACTTAAGTCATGATGGTGGAAGCTTCACAAACGGGATTAGCACCTTGTGAAAGAGGCTCCCTAGAGACCCCAGTCCCCTCTGACAAGTGTTACACCAAGAAGCCTGCGGCTGGAGAAGGACCCACGCCACCATGCTGACACCTGACAGCAGATGTCCCAGCATCCAGAACTGTGAGTATAAATTTCTGTTGTTATAGCTGGCAGGATGGACTATGACAGCCTCATACCAAAAGCAAACATTTTAGCACTCTCCAACACAACTGAGAGAGCCATTAATTCATATAATTATGAGATTACAAGTCATTGTTTTCTGCTCATGTTCCCTGAGAACCACTGAGGTAATACTTCATTGGTTTTATTTGACGTGTGCCAGTATATAATTCACTAGATTTTCACTAGTTCAGATGAACTTTTCCCAAGTTCATTGTAGAAGAAAGGAGATTTTTAACAAAGTTACTTATTTGTAAGGGTCTGAGATGAAAAGGAGCTTTTAAAAACAGAAAACTCAGTTGACTCTGATTTCTGAGTAATTTGGTCAAGTAGATCATGGAGATGAATCATCCTATTTAAAACAACCAATAGTTCTGAGCAAAATATCCTCCTAAAAGCACTGAAGAGACAATGGATTAAGAGCTGTGAGGACAGAAAGGAGCAGCACATAGCATTTACCCTGAGGGCGTTCACCAACCCAGGGACATTGCCTTGGTGCTGGCAGCCAGCCTCCCTGGCGTGACATACAAACAAGTCAAAACTCAGCATACAGCTGCGGGGGACACTCAGCCTCTCTAAAGCTGGGCCCTTAACCTGCTCGTTTTCAAGAGAAATGGCACCTACCTCACTCTCCAAGACTAGGAGACTGCAGAAAAGAGAATCTCTGAGAACTTGTGACTGCAATCCAGCCGCCCCCCCCCGACACACACACACACACTCACCTATGTGAGTATAATATAAACTCTGGTTTGTATTATGAAAGAAATAGAAAATCTGTATAGTCCCATTTGAAGATAAACCCACAAAGAAAACTCCAGGACCCAGATATTTCGCCGACAATTTCTACTAGTCAAGGCAATATAATGTATTTAAACAGAATTAAATGCCTAAGTTAATTTCAGAGAACAGTTGTGAGGAAAATGCCCTCTCTACACAACCAATAAAATATTTTCCCCTTTCTGCCTCCCTGGTGGTGCAAGGGGTTAAGTCTCAGCACTATGAAGCTATCCACGCCACTACAGTGCCAGTTTGATCAGGCCAGGGAGGTGACCCACATGGCACAGCAGACCTCTGCTGTCTCACCGGCTACTCCCCTCAGCAGTGCATTTCAGTTAGTCTGCATATTCTGCTCCCCATTCTGTCTCTGGAGAATATCACATTAAACATTAAAATGTAATGTCTGTGCATATTTATGTTTATAATTGAGGCAAAGTTCACATTACATAACCATTCTAAAGTGCA